TATATTAGTAAGTGATCCTGTACACATTAGTTTGTCTGTGTCAGTCTGCTGTAGAAAGTTCAGGTTTTATGTGTATACAATTATTCATCATGGAATAAAGTAAAGCATGTGAGATATACCAAAGTTTTGTTTTTACCTGTGTTGTGTTGTATTTATTCATGTACTGATGTTACTCTCTTAAGAATGCATTGGGCTACTCTCGTTTTTAAACGCCTTCGTTCATGATAGTTTTGAATTGAATTATTAAATTTTTTCTTTACCACCAAAAAAAAAAATACAAAGAAAGATGTGAAGTGAGGTTGGTGGGTAAATGATTTTAGTAAGTGCATCAACACTTAATGATCCATTTTATAATATATTCTGTATACCTAAGGCAAGTGGGTTCGTATATCTTCTAATGAATTATGCTGTAGTTTGATATATTGGTTATAAAACTAGAAGGGATATTAGTGAAAGTGAGCTTTCCACAAAATTATAAAAGGTGCCTCTTGTGTTACACAATGAAAATGTTCAAACATATGTTTTAAGGTGTGTTGCATTAACAAGTTTGATAGACAGTCTAAGTAATTACAGGTAGCAGATGTGATTTTAGTTTTCTCAATGTAGAAAATCAGAATAAAGTTGATATCTGTAGCCTTTAAATGAAATATTATATTGCAGCTGCTTTGTCAAGTATTAATGTGTAAGATTGTTGGACACTGTATGGCATCACCAAGGAGCACCATTTGTAAAGGGCTTAATAAAGTTAGCTTTTGTAGTAGTGTTCAAATTAGTTGAAAATATTTGTTTCAGTATGAACCACTTGCTATGAAAATACAGTAATTATTGTACAATTTCAGCTCTGAACTGATGATTTGTTAACATGATTTCCAACTGTGTTTATGTTATTTGTGTTTAAAATATCATATATTGAGGTATGTGATCTGGGAAGAGAATCTTCAACTTACACTCTCATTTACTATACAAACTAAGTTTGCTTTAAAATATACTTTAACCTTCTCTAATAAGTCTTAGTCCTTGCAGTGAGAGGAGTTCTGTATTAACTGTTGCATGTATGTTGCCCAGAAGAGCTGTTTATGCATGCATAATGTTTGGTTTAGTCTACTGCCTACTACTCATAAATATTTACATTAATATCTCTTATTTGGACTGATCCAAATGCTAATGTGTCCAAATTGTGGTAGGGTTATGTTCTGATGAACCCATCGTAAGTAAAAAATATAGTGTTTGATATGAATATATGCTGAATAAATAAGTAAATAAACAAGTGATTACTGTAAATAATTAAATATGTACCTGTATTTAAAAGTAAATAAATGAATAAAAATGATGGACTTTCCACCTTCATGCTGGGTAATTGTCTTAAGTTTCTTGTCTAAGGTGATTCCTTTTGCACCATCATAATATAAAGTTGAAATGTCAAACCATTGTAAGTCAAGAACCACCCGTGTAGAAATTTCCTAATATAGATTGGATGCTTCTCCCTTATTTTGGAAAACATGCACATTGCTGATTCTCTGAACTGAAATTGGGAATCTTCATTCTTAACCCTTTCAGAGTTTTGGACGTACTAGTACGGCTTACGCACCAGTGTCCATGACGTACTAGTATGCATAAATTCTAGCACCTTCAAATCTAGTGAGAGAAAGCTGGTAGGCCTACATATGAAAGAATGGGTCTATGTGGTCAGTGTGTGCAGTATAAAAAAAATCCTGCAGCACAAGTCGTTACCATCAAATTACCGCCCAATAAGCCTGACCTCAATTGTAGGCAAATTACTAGAGTCAGTTATAGCTGAGATTATAAGAAGCCATCTCGATAAGCATAGCTTGATTAATGATACTCAGCATGGATTCACAAGAGGCCGGTCTTGTCTAACTATTTATTAACTTTCTTCAGTAAAGCTTTTGAGGCTGTTGACCACAATAAAGAATTTGATATTATTTACTTAGATTTTAGTAAGGCTTTTGATAGAGTTCCGCACCATAGACTGTTAAAGAAAGTGGCAGCTCATGGCATTGGGGGAAAAGTGCTCTTGTGGATCGAGTCATGGCTCACAGACAGGAAGCAGAGAGTGTCCATAAATGGGGTTAAATCCGAGTGGGGATCTGTAACAAGTGGCGTTCCACAGGGATCAGTCTTGGGCCCGTTGTTGTTTATAATATATATCAATGATCTTGATGAGGGAATTACTAGTGATATGAGCAAATTCGCCGATGACACAAAGATAGATAGGATAATTGATTCAAACGTAGATGTTATGGAACTTCAGGAGGATTTAAACAAACTATTCTTGGTCAGAAAAGTGGCAGACGCAGTTCAATGTAGATAAATGCAAGGTTCTGAAGCTTGGGAGTGCCCATAACTCTAGTACTTATAAGTTAAATGATGTAGAACTTAGCCATACAGATTGCAAAAAGGACTTGGGGGTTATGGTGAGCAGCAACCTTAAACCAAGACAGCAATGCCTAAGCGTACGTAATAAGGCAAATAGATTACTGGGATTTATATCAAGAAGTGTAAGCAACAGAAGTCCAGAGGTCATACTGCAGCTTTATACATCATTAGTAAGGCCTCACCTAGATTATGCAGCTCAGTTCTGGTCTCCGTATTACAAAATGGACAAAATTCGTTAGAAAACATTCAGCGTAGGATGACTAAATTAATACATAGCATTAGAAATCTTCCTTATGAAGAAAGATTGAAGACTCTTAAGTTACATTCACTTGTTAGACGAAGAATGAGGGGAGACCTGATCGAAGTGTATAAGTGGAAGATAGGTATTAATAAAGGGGATATTAATAAGGTTTTGAGGATGTCTCTCCAAGAGAGAACCCGCAGTAATGGATTTAAATTAGATAAGTTTAGATTTAGAAAGGACATAGGAAAGTATTGGTTTGGAAATAGGGTAGTTGATGAGTGGAACAGTCTACCTAGTTGGGTTATTGAGGCTGGGACTTTGGGTAGTTTCAAATCTAGGTTGGATAAGTACATGAGTGGGAGGGGTTGGATTTGAGTGGGACTTTCACATCAGAGCTTATTTCTTGGGTGGCATTGAAAATTGGGTTGGGCAAATGTTTTGTTAGTGGGATGAATTGTAAAGGACCTGCCTAGTATGGGCCAGCAGGCCTCCTGCAGTGTTCCTCCTTTCTTATGTTCTTATGTTCTAATGAGAAAAAAAAACTTTAACCGTGTTTTTAGATTAAAACAGAGACTTTGCACTATATTTTCGTATGGTATTTATTGTTGTATTTTAGTTTTCCTGGTCTCATTGTATAGAATGGAAGACATGTTACAGAAATTGAGATGATTTTGACTGGTTTTATAATGAAAAGTACCTTGAAATTGAGCTCAGAGTAGCAGAAATGTTTGATTTTTACCAAAGTTCAAAAGTAAGCAAATCATGCTAAGCGTCCAATACATGTTAACTGGTGAGTCTAATGTTCTTTCACAAGTGTGCCAATATTATTTATACCATTTCTACACTAATGCAGTAGTCTGCATAATAGTAAATCTTATTTTTTTTTGTGAGAATAAAAATTCAAAGTGGAAAGCAAAAAAAAATGTAAGAGGGGCCTGGGGACGTGACTAATGAACAGAAGAAATGTTATTTTAGTACCAGGAATGTCTTTCTTGTTTATTCTGGAACTTATTTGGAAATTGGCATCTTTTGAAATTTGTGTGAAATTGGCAAAATTGCTAAATTTTGACCACTGTATTGGATAGTTGAAATCGGTAAATTGGTGGTTTCTTGAACTCATTTGATAGAAAAAATGGAGTTCTAGCGAAATAGTATGATTTTTGTCGACTAGTATATTGAAATTGGCTGAAAATAGGGCTCAAAGCAGGCAAAATCACCGATGCTTAAACATCTTCGAGACTCCTAACTTCGCGAGAGCATAATTTCATAAGTTTTCCATCAAATTTCATACTTTTGGTGTCATTATGATCAGGAAAAGATTCTCTATCTTTTCATAAGAATTTTTTTGGAGTGGGGGGGGGGGGACCATGAGAACAAGTCTCTGAGAGGGCCTGTGGACCCTGAAAGGGTTAATAAGAAAATTAAAGATTTTGGAAATCTTTTCTAATATAAAATCTCTAAAGACCTAGTTTTTGCTCTTCAGAAATTTAGAATTTTGGAAATCTTTTTGAATTAAAAAAATTAAACAATATTCTCTCATGAAAAAGCATCCAAAAAAAAAAAAGAGAGAGAGAGAGAGAGATTTTCTGAAATCTGTTTTTGAATTTGAGCAATTTTGAATAAAGTAAAAGTTTCAAATAAGAGATAAAGTATTAATGTATGTATTTTTAAAGAGCTTGATGTATATACAGTATGTACTGTTTCTGATGGTTTTTGTTTGATCGTGAAGTGTCTTGTATGTAAGTGTATTAGTCATGTTTTGTACACCTCAGTTAAATGTTTTAAGTAAATCACATTATTTATTTACATGTACTGCATTTTCTGTACAGGTTGACTATATATATTCCATTAGTAAAATGGAATAAAACATGTACAGTGTACATGTTTTACTGTACTGTGCTCGAAATGTAATATTGAGGCCAGACTACTACACAATAAATTATATAGATAAAGACTCCATTTGATATTGCAGTGAGTTTTATTTTTTAATCATAATTTTTAATTGAATTATTGTACAAGTAATGGATTGCATGTTATAAAGATGGCAAGCTCAAATATAGTACAGTATATATAAGAAAAACATTTTTCCTGTACATACATTATATAAGGTTTACTAACGTTTTACTAACATGTGCATATTCTCCTCAAGAAGAAACTTCATAACTCTACCACTGTGTACAGTATATTGTATTTTAATATGCTATACATAATTTAACTTTTATATTGCTCCTGTTTAAAACACTACTCATAGCTATGTAATTTTCATTGTCAGTATATATGTGAAGTTCTTATAATAGCTATATCATACTTTTCCTATTTTTGTTCTTGTAGAAGATAACTCTTTATATCTCATTCGCAGGCTTCTCCCCTCTCTCGAAAGGAATCATATAAAGACCAGAGGCGGAAGTATCGCCGAGAGAAAAAAAGAGTTGCACGAGAACTTCTGAGCACACTGAAAGATCCGGCTGTGGTGGTGCTAGCTGATTGGCTCAAGGTACGAGGTTCACTCAAGGGATGGACCAAACTGTGGTGCGTGCTCAAGCCTGGCATGCTTCTTCTCTATAAGAGTGCCAAAGTTAAGGTATGTGTAGGCCATCTCTGTTTTTGATGACAGTAACAATCTGAGCATTTCAGTGTCATACAAAACCGTCCAGTTGGAACCATTCATTGTTTTAGTCAGTTTTACGAGACCTTGCAACTTGGGAGGTGTGATACTTGGTGAACAAAACATATGTACAGAGGCTCCTCACTTTACAATGGTTCGGCTTACAATATTTCAACTTTACAATAGCACGATAGTGATGCACATTCTGTACTGTACAGTACTGTACATTTGTTGATAGGATAAACTTGTGTTCATTTATTTGATTTTCAATTAGTTACAGTAGTTATTTATTTACTTATTTATACACATTCGACTTAAGATATTTTCAACTTACAGTGGGTTCATCAGAATGTAATCACATTGTAAGTCAAGGAGCACCTGTACTGTATAGTGTTTTGAGGAAGAATATGCATGTGATTCTGGTTATATGTGGGAACCGTCATTGATAGGATAAAGATAAATTTAATGTCCTAATACTTTGTACAGAGCAGCCACTGGGTGGGCACTGTATTGCTGAACACATGTGAACTAATTGAGCGGCCATCAAAAAAAGATGGATTCTGTTTCAAGCTCTTCCATCCTCTTGAGCAGTCCATCTGGGCTACAAAGGGACCTGAGGGGGAAACAATGGGTAAGTACACCAGCAGAGGCATTGTCAAGCATAGGAATTAATGATTACAAAAAATTGATTTGTACCAGTGCAAATGGCTTTTTTAATTCTTTACAGAAAATCTCTTTTAATTTTTGTGATTTTATTTAAATCCATTTGGATTAATTAAAAAACACTTGAATTTTAATAACTTTGTTGAAATTTAATAAACTTTTTATTTAAATTTTCCCCTTACACAGTCCCATATAAACTTTTTTTGTTTAATATTTATCAATCCAGTTTTCTTTCAAATCCTTAATAGTTTTCTTTGTGTATTTTTTAAACAAAGTTAAATTTTTTTTACAACTGCTAAAACCCTTAAATTAGTAACTCTCCTGCTATTATCTAAAATTTCAAAAAAAAATAAAATTTGATTTTTTTTAATTTTAATAGTTTTGTGAGAAAATTATTCCCGGGGGAAGTTGGAAGAAAAAGTTTTCCCAAGCAGTGAAATAAAAAGGTTTTTAAAAGTAGAATTTCCTGGGGGGGGAAAATAAAATTAAAAAAAGGGGGGAAAATTTTAATTTGGGTGATTGTTTGAATTTGGTATGGGAAAAAGTTGTGAAGGAAAAGGAAATTTTGGTGTTTTAACGAAAAGAAGTTTTAACCAAGTGAAAAAAAAGGTGGGAATTGCTGGGGGGGAGGAGAAGAAAGGGGGTTAAATTTGGGGATATTAAGGTTTTCAAGATTGGAATAAAAATTTTTGGATGGGATTTGGGAGGGAAAATGGTTTAAAAGATAAATTTTAGGTGGTGTTAAGCAAATGTTTAGAAAGTTTTGAACCAAGTGAGAAAATAATTGTTGTGGGGAACCTGCTGAAGGAGGTGTAGTAGGTAAGAGTGGAGTGCCAGGTGTAAATTATAATGAGAATTTAAAGATTTATCAAGGACTGAATAAAATTTTTGACTGGGCATTTTCTGTAGCTACAAATGGATAATTACATATACTGTATATACTCTTACTGTCTTTTTTTAATATTTTTTGCACTAGTACTAAATAATACCAACAGGAGCAGTTATGCAACCACTTCCTTCATCACACCTCATCTTCCGAGCTCCGTCCCAGGCAGCAGGGAAGTGCTGGATGGATGCCCTGGAGCTGGCTGTTAGGTGCTCCTCGATTCTTATCCGGTCCATGACATCTTCAAATAAGAGTGAAGCCAACAATTCTATTAACTCTTCAACTCTTGCTGCTGATAAGTGGAATGACTCAGATTATGAGAAACACTTCAAGGACCAAGGTGAGTATTTGTCGAGTTTATGGTTTAGAAAGTTATAGAAGATATATTGTGTTATAATATGTGTATCTAAATAGCTCTTTTCATCGGAATGTTTAGCTGTTAAAATTTCAATGTGACTGTCTAGAACAATTTCAAAGCCTTGTGTACCATTAGGATAATATAAAGAAATGTGGTTGTTATGTTGTAAAGAGCTTGTGTATTGTGTTGAAGATTGTACACTTACCAGTGTTTCTCTCCTCTCACCCCTTCCTTCTACCTCGTCGGCTGCTGCTTCCTCTCCATCGCTGTTACGGTTGATTCCGTTGCCTTTGTAATTCACCTTGGATATTGTGCTTTGCTTGCCTGTTCTATTCACACAAATGCATTTGCCTTTCACTTAACAAACAACTGAATTTTTGCATGCTGTGTATAAAACTAAAAATGTCAACTAACTTAAACATATAATGCATCATTTGTTTGTAATTTCTTTGGAGTGACCTTGATCATACTCTAATACAAAAAAATCCAACAAATGTTGCCTGTTAAATGATTCTTGGTCCATAAAACTGTCTCCTGTAGTAAATATAATATTGAATGGTCCAATGTATTCTAAATGACCATTGGCACATTGAGTTGTTAAATCTAGATATATCTGATGATTCAAGCACTGGTATTAGTCCTGAAAGTAGCCCAGTAGCATCACCTCAGTCAGTATGGCGGGACTGTGTCATTCAGCTTGCTGGTGTTTCCAGTGTTGAATGTACACCTACTCATAGGATCCTTGTGAGCAGTGGAGTAAACAGAGATCCATCTCCCACTCCGTATTATCGTAAGCTGGCAGCAGCTATTCACATGGCTGATCAGGAACTCATGGGAGAATCCTCCAATCCAAGAATGTCATTAACTCCTGAGCCTACCAGTGTTTCTGAACATTCACAAGCAAACACACCTAAGATGCAGCCCACCCAGAAGAACAACTCTGTGAGGGCGACTCCCAAGATTCATAAAAAGACTTCAAGCTGAAAAAGAAGGGTAGATGATAATGTTATGTGCATTGTTGCAGTTCTGAGATTGAATCTGTTGCACTGCGAGTTAGTGACTCGGTTTCATTTTGAGCAGCATTATGTAATATGAATGTTGCGCATACATGCATGAATATTGGCTGTTTACAGATAATATATTGAATATTTTGTTATACACTACACTATAAGAATGAATTTGGAGAGTTTGTGTCATACTACTTTAAAGCTTTTAATTCTTATTCTCTTTGTATTGTTTTATTTTTATCTGCTACTGAGATTGAATAGGCTCCCCATGACAGACATAATGGAAGTTGCCTCATGTTTATTCTATTTATTGCCAACTTGGAAACAATCTGTTGATACAGCTGTAGATAGGCTTCACAACAGGTTTATATTTGATCAATGCTTTCTTTTGATAAGTATTTCTCATATTTAGATGCCTTGAAAATTATTAATTGCTTATGAGGCCAAGAAAGCTGCTTCAGAGCCATTTAGCAGCTAACAGTAAAAAAAAAGTTGCAGATTGCCTGTTATTTGTCCCACAGATTTTTTTTCTTTTGTGCAACCAGTTCCAACCTTACCCCAGCTCCTAACCTGCAGACCTCACCCTCCCCTCTCCTAAACCCCACAGACTTGGACGATGCAAGCCACACAGATGAGAATGAATACCATCGTGAATCTGGACATTTTTCTGGAGCAGAGGCAATGTCTGGGACAGAATCAGAATCTGAGGATGGCTCTCACAAAGGTGATGAAGAAAGGAGAAATGGGGAAGAGGAGGACGTAAAAGATGATCAGACTCCTATAGAGACTACTTATGTGGTTTCTAAGGAAGGGGAAATGGGAGAGGTGAGTTTTATATTACTAATGTAAAAAAAAATTATCTAGTACTGTAGTATCATTTATAATAAAATATTTTATGCTATGGTATAACTGACATTGTGTTACACACCGCTATATTAGTATTCATTGCACACTGATTTTAGAACTTGTAAAAATCATATATCTGTATCCTTTTTAACTTGTTAATGTAATTGTTTAAAGGTTTATTTCCGAGTTCAGTATGATAAAGTATTTCATGTTTTACCAGGGAGAGAATTGGTTAGTTCTTAAAATATAATAAACTCAGAACCTTATTACAGGTGCTTGATTAAATCTTCTATAGGTATGCTGTAGTTTACATAAATTAATTCATATTATAAAGCCATAAGAGTTTCTTTTGCTATATAAAAATAATGTAATACAGTGGACCCCCAGTTCCCGATGCTATAGGTATCCGATAAATCCGGTAGCCGATGCATTTGATCGAAAAAAATTTGCCTCGCTTCCCGATACAAAACCCGGTATGCGATACGATTCGTACGAGACGTGTCCAGTGTTTACAAGCCAGCCAGTGTGTGCGCATCTAAGGATACATTCGGTACATTCTATATTATCCATATTATCACTGTTTTTAGTGCTTGTTTCTGCAAAATTAGTCACCATGGGCCCCAAGAAAGCTTCTAGTGCCAACCCTTCAAGACCAAGGGTGCTAATGACTATTGAAATGAAGAAAGAGATAATTGCAAAGTATGAAAGTGGAGTGCGTGTATTGGAGCTGGTCAGGTTGTATAGTAAACCCCAATCAACCATCTCTACTATAGTGAGCAGGAAAATGGCAATCAAGGAAGCTGTTCTTGCAAAAGGTGCAACTGTGATTATGAAACAGCAACCACAAGTGTTAGAAAATGTTGAGAGACTCTTATTGGTGTGGATAAATGAAAAACAGATAGCAGGAGATAGCATCTCTCAAGCGATCATTTGTGAAAAGGCTAGGCAGTTGCATGACGATTTGGTAAAGAAATTGCCTGCAACTAGTGGTGATGCGAGTGAATTTAAGGCCAGCAAAGGTTGGTTTGAAAGATTTAAGAATCGTAGTGGCATACATAGTGTGATTAGGCATGGTGAGGCTGCCAGTTCAGACCACAAAGCGGCTGAAAAATATGTGCATGAATTCAAGGAGTACATAGAGGCTGAAGGATTGAAACCTGAACAAGTGTTTAATTGTGACAAAACAGGCCTGTTTTGGAAGAAATTGCCAAGCAGGACCTACATTACTCAGGAGGAAAAGCTACCTCAAGTCCTAATGGAGGGGGATTCCCCTTCTAAACAATAGGTTCAACACACTCCCCTCCTCCCATCCCATCAATCATCACCAGATCTTCATTAAAGGTAAGTGTCAATTATTCTTTTGTTATTATTCTATTGTTATTGTTGTTATTGTAATTATTCTATTGCATTAAACTTAATATTTCATGTGGTAAAAGTTTTTTTTTTTCACACTTTGGGTGTCTTGCACAGATTAATTTGATTTCCATTATTTCTTATGAGGAATTTTGATTCGCGTTCCGATAATTTTTGTTTACGATGAGCTCTCAGGAACGGATTAATATCGCGAACCGGGGGTCCACTGTATTTGTTTTGGGCTGTTGCCAGTTTTCTCAACTCCTGTCATGAGTGCCCAGGAAACAATTTGTCTGTAAACTCATGAATCGAAGCTTGATGGCATACAGGAAGGCCCCATTTGTACGGGTCTTAGGTTCCTGATGCTGTACAGAAAGCAAAAATTGCTGGCAGGTGGAAAAGAGTGTTTTTTCATTATCGAGTGTTTCTAAAAACATGATAACGTGTTTACACTATCATGTATTAAGTCCTCACTACAGCTAGGCATAGAAAACAGATAAAAAAAAGTAAAATAAATACACAGTATTTTTTTATTATTAACACACTGGCCGATTCCCACCAAGGCAGGGTGGTCCGAAAAGAAAAACTTTCACCATCATTCACTCCATCACTGTCTTGCCAGAAGGGTGCTTTACACTACAGTTTTTAAACTGCAACATTAACACCCCTCCTTCAGAGTGCAGGCACTGTACTTCCCATCTCCAGGACTCAAGTCCGGCCTGCCGGTTTCCCTGAATCCCTTCATAAATGTTACTTTGCTCACACTCCAACAGCACGTCAAGTATTAAAAACCATTTGTCTCCATTCACTCCTATCAAACACGCTCATGCACGCCTGCTGGAAGTCCAAGCCCCTCGCACACAAAACCTCCTTTACCCCATCCCTCCAACCTTTCCTAGGCCGACCCCTACCCCGCCTTCCTTCCACTACAGACTGATACACTCTTGAAGTCATTCTGTTTCGCTCCATTCTCTCTACATGTCCGAACCACCTCAACAACCCTTCCTTAAAATATGATGCCAGTCGCCCTTCCCTTACGCATCTGTTGTGCAAAAATAACCGAAAAGCACTAAAAGCACTGAACATAATGAACAACAGCTCAGTTGAATGCCAGTAAAAATATGGAATACCAAAAAGAGGGTGCTGTATGCACGGGGCCCACTTCTACTGATGACATCAGTGAAGAAAAAGACACTTTGAAGAAGCTTCTAGTGGAACAGTGTTTTAATCTATGTTCATCAATACTTTAATAAAAATCAACACAGATTAAAAGTTGACCTATTAAAGGCTTGTTTTTTATTTAGAAGTTTATAAATTAGAAAACAATTATTTTAATTTTTTATTTTATTCTCGTGTACTAGAGTACATGTGGTGACTGTCTTTAAATATCATTAGTATTTGGGCTTCACATATTTAACAAATTTTGCTAGGTGCCCAATTATTGCAGTAAATAAATACATACTGCATAAGTTAGTCTAATGCAAAAAGATAATATTAATTTTTATAATTCTTAGATTATTTTGTGGTTTTAATAATGCATCAATCTATTTTCTTGGATGTATAACTTGTCCAAACAAATTGATTGATTGATGTCTTCATATTTCAGGCTGGAGAACAAGTTGAAGAATTAGAAGAAGAAAACAAGTCTCTGATTTGGTTCCTATTAAAACAAGTTCGGCCAGGGATGGACTTGTCTAAAGTGGTGCTGCCGACATTTATTCTTGAGCCAAGATCCTTCCTTGACAAACTTTCAGACTACTATTATCATGCTGATCTGCTCTCAAAGTTAGTAGTGTATTTTAGCTTATCTTGTCAAGTGGAAAGTCTGATTCTTATTGTATCTTAAGTGATAAATCACATAAAATAATGCCAATGAATTTCTCAGTTTTCAGACATCTGCTACTATATTATTAACTGACAAATATTGTCTACTGTGCACTCAGTAAGCAGAATGTCTAGGAAACTTTCGATATAGAGTTTGTAATACTTTTCTAACGAAACAGCTATCCTACCTCACAACACCCTTAAAGTGACTAACAAAATAGATTTCCAAGTCAGTGTAGTAGTGGTGTTAAGTAACTTGTAAATTGCCTACTGTGAGAATCATAGGCATAGGGGAAACAGGAAAAAACTTCGTTAAACTTGCTTCTTTAAAAATATGGCTACATTAATATTAATCATACAGTAACATATTTAATGATAATTTCATGGGGTTAACAGGTTAGAATCCTTTTCAGTATTGACAAGTGTGTTGTTGGAGGTGACTAAACTGTCAGGTGCTGCATTGAAAAAAATTACTAACAGTATGTTTACTGTTAGGCGACTAAAATGCCGGGAGCAAGGGGCTGGTAACCTCTTCTCCTGTATATATTACTAAATGTAAAAGGAGAAACTTTCGTTTTTCCTTTTGGGCCACCCCGCCTCGGTGGGATACGGCCGGTGTGTTGAAAGAAAGAAAGAAAGAAATGTTTACTGTTCCTGTCTTATAGTATTTTAGTCTGTTTCTGCATGTTTGAAACCCCTAATTACAATTATTTTCATTGCTGTGGTCACTTTTCATTACTAGTTAGCACCTTTTATATATATAATTGACTCCCTCAGTTATCTTATATTCTGTTTTCCATGTGCTGTTAAGCATTTGGTTGTATGTATTGCTGTTAATTATTTTTGTCTTAATCTTGAATGTCTATTATAAATTGGAGTATTTCTTTTACCAGTATTAAAAATCCTCCATCCTTCTTTTCTGCTCTCTTCTCCACCCTGAGTAGTTAACCTTGAAGACTTTTTTCCACTCTGATTTCAGCCAGACTTGCTATGTCAGGGTTCTTTTTTTGAGGTAACTCAATCTTATTTTTCTAAACACTACTGCCATCTCCCACTGAGGCAGAGTGATGACAAAGAAGAAGACACTTTCACAGTCATTTATTCAATAACTGTCTTGCCAGAAGGGCACCAACATCACAGTTCAGATGACCTTCTGAACTGCAGCATCCCCACCCCTCCTTCAGAGTGCAGGTACTGTACTTCTCACCTCCAGGACTCAAGTCCAGATAACTGTGTCTTTGAATTCCTTCATAAATATTACCTTCCTCACACTCCAAGAGCATAAAAATCATAAACTACTTGCCTTCACTCACTCCTATGTAACATGCTGTCACAAGCCTGTTGGATGTCCAAGCCCCTAGCATTCAAAACCTATAACCCCTCTTTTTAACCTTTCCCAGGATGACCCCCTACCCCTCCTTCTCTCTACCCCAGATTTATACATCCTCCTAGTCATCCTAATTTTCTCCAGCCTCTCTGAATGACTAAACCACTTCACCAACCCCTCCTTAGCGCTCTTGAATAATATTTTTGGTGACTCCACTCCTAATCTCTAAACTCTGAATATTCTGCATAATATTCACACTACACATCACCCTCAAACATGACATCTCCACTGCCTCCAACCTTCTCCTCACCACAGTATTCAAAACCCACTCTTCACACCTCTACAACAGTGCTAGCAAATAAGCTACTAAGCACAAAGCAACTAACCAGGAAGCTATGTAGACAAGGCTGGAGAATGCTGGCTTGGCTGTGGGTTAGCATCCCATAGGCCTCCATGTGGTTCACACATTGCCTAGCTTGGTAGAAATAATCTCCTTATATCTGCGTAATTTTCACAATCATGCCCACACCGATGTCACCATTTATCGTGAGGGTTCGTCAGGAGATGTTGGAATAATACACATGTTGGATGTCTTGGAGGCTTATAATTAAGAGTCTTGAAGAGTAGTCAGACCTTGCCTTGTCGAGTCTGCCTAGTGTGGAACTGAGAGGGAGGCCTGTAACTGGCGGCTCACATGTGAGGGACTCGTGACATCACAGCAAGGGACCCTTACTATAAATAGCTGGGATTATCTTAGTATACTACACAGTAACATTACTGAGACTGGTACATTCCCCTTTTTGCCTACATGGATAACTGTTAAATCCATTTGTTTCTTAGGCTTTCTCAACCCATTTACACTGTATCTCCAAAACTCTTTCTTATTCTCAACAAAATTTATTGATAAAACATCTCTCACTCTCTCATTAGCTCTCCTTTTGCACTCTCTCAGTGCTCTTTTAGCTCTTCATATACTCCTCCCTTTATATATCACTTCTATATTATAAAAACCTTTCATATGCCAACTTTTTCTCCCTTACAACTCTCTCTACCATATTATTCCACCAATCACATCTCTCTTGTACCCACCCTCCTATACCCACAAACTTCTGCTGCACACTTTGACACTGCATTTCTTTTAAATTTAGTAATTTATACAGGAGAAGGGGTTACTAGCCCTTTGCTCTTTACCCTAACTTTTTTTTTTTAACACAACGACCATTTCCCACTGAGGCAGGGTGACCCAAATAGAAAGAAAAATACTTTAATCATTCAACACTTTCACCACTACTCATACATACTCACTGTCTTTGCAGAGGCACTCAGATACGACAGTATAGGAGTCCCTCCAAACTGCCAATATCCCAGACCCCTCCTTTAAAGTGCAGGCATTGTATTTCTCATTTCCAGGACTCGAGTCCGGCTAACTGGTTTCCCTGAATCCCTTCACAAAATATTACCCTCCTCACACTCCAACAGCTCGTCAGGTCCCCAAAACCATTTGTCTCCATTCACTCTTATCTAACACGCTCATGCATGTTTGCTGGAAGTCCAAGCCTTTCGCCCACAAAACCTCCTTTACCCCCTCCCTCCAACTTTTTCGAGGACGACCCCTACCCCTCCTTCCTTTCCCTACAGATTTATACACTCTCCTTTAATTTATAAACTTTCATTTCTCTCCTACTTACCTATGACCTTCTCCTTGTACTGTATCTCCTTCTTATTAAATAATGAGCATATAGATCTGTCACCCCTCTAGAAAGATGAACATCTATCTGATACTCTGTTCCCCTACATATGTTTCAGTTTTGTTTCTTTGTTTTCTGTTGTCTTCCTCTTCCCTTCTTTTGTGGGTCATGTGTACTTGACATGTCCTTGCAACTATCCTGTTACCTTATGTGCTTGACACACACTAGCTGTTCTACCTGTGTATGTTGCTCATAGCATCTTCTTATCCTTCTGTATTCTATTAATAATGAGAAAAAAGTTTATCCAGGGTCCAAATGGATAACAAGACAAAATTTAAGCAAGTTAAATCTATGATACTCAGTGAGCTTTGAGATATGTTGTTTCCATAAAGTGGAAATTATAGTTATAGAACTCGTTTTTGCACATTGCAACAAGGATTTTGATTGGTTTTATGATGGAAAGTACCTCAAAATTGAACTCAAAGTAGTGGAAATGTTTGAGTTTTGATGTTCAAGAGTAAAGAAATGACATTGTCCAGTATGTGTCCAGCTGGTTGGTCTAATATGCAATCATGAATGGGTCGACATTATTTATACAATTATTACAATAATGCAGTAGTCTACATAACAGTACATCTTCTATTTTTTTGTGTGAATAAAATATCAAAATGGAAAGCAAATGTAATATAAGAGGGGCCTGGAGACGTGACTAATGAACAGAGAAAATGTTATTTTAGTGCCAGGAATGATGCATTGTTTATTCTGGACCCTATTTTGAAATCGGCATCTCCTGAAATTTGTGTGAAATTGGCCAAATTACAGATTTCTGACCACTTTATTGAGTAGTTGAAATAGGTAAATGGACTACTAGGTAGAAGGACTACTAGCAAAATACATAGCTACGAGTTTGGTAGACTGGAACAATGGAATGGGCCAAAAATAGGATGTCAAGTGGGTGAAATTGCCAATGCATAAATATTGCCATTGAGTTAAGTGTATTCTAACCTAACCACTCTGTAATCCAGCAAAATCACTAATCCAGCACCCTACAGGTCCTGATGGTGCCGAATTAGAGATGGTCATTATGTATTATAGCAAATCAATGCATTAATTTCTATCACTGTCAGTACTCACCCACATTTTCATTACCTGTCCCCCCACCCGAAAAAAAAAAATACATCATAGTAAATTTATTTTCTGATCTTTTCTAAACTGAGAGTTTAGGTGTGAGATAGCTGGAACTATATGCGTAAACATACTTCACAACACAGTTGCCATATACATTTTTACATATGAGTGCAGGCTGTGACACTAACAAAAACGTGTGTGCAAACAGAGCCGTACAAGAAGATGACCCATTCACACGTATGAAGCAAGTTACCAGGTGGTACCTCTCAGGATTTTATAAGAAGCCGAAGGGACTCAAGAAGCCTTACAATCCCATTCTTGGGGAAACGTTTCGCTGCTATTGGAGACATCCCAATGGATCACGCACCTTCTATGTTGCAGAGCAGGTACAGTATGTTGAAACATAATATTGCTTCAGTTAAAATACAGTTTAGATTTTAATTAAAATTAATAATGACTGCATCCTAGGTAGTAGGTTGGTAGACAGCAACCACCCAGGGAGGTACTACCGTCCTGCCAAGTGAGTGTAAAATGGAAGCCTGTACTTGCATGTTTCATAAACATGCAAGATTTCAGTTACGTCTTGCTACTTCTACTTACAGTTAGGTAACACTATACATACATGTACACCTACCATCCGACTTACGACCTGCTCGACATATGTCTACTCGACTTACGACTGTGCATCTGGCAGCTGGGCTGGGCCGACTGATGCACACCACTGTACAATATTTGACAATACTCGCGGCGGCATCAGCAGCATCATACTGTATTAACTGTACTAACTGGACAGTAAATTTCACCATGGCCCCTAAGATGAAGTCTGAATCTTGCACTGGAGATTGTGGCAAGAAAGGCTCTTATTCTCGAACTCTATTTGTTTTCACTGTTGCACATAAACCTGTCTGTATCTGTCTGCCTGTATATCTGTGTATCTCTGTGTGTCTGTGTGTCTGTTTATCTGTCTGTCTGTCTTTCTGTCTACCTGTGTGTCTGTCTTATGTCTACCTGTGTGTCTGTCTTTGTTTACCTGTGTCTGTCTACCTGTGTGTGTCTTTCTGTCTACCTGTGTGTCTGTCTACCTGTGTATCTGTCTACTTGTGTGTCTGTCTTTATGTCTACCTGTGTATGTCTTTCTGTCTACCTGTGTGTCTACCTGAGTGTGTCTACCTGTGTCTGTCTGTCTTTCTGTCTGCTTGTCTGTCTCAGAGCCACTCATTAAGAGTGTAATTGGTCTTGAAGATGCCATATTAATAATGATAATAACACAATAATAATCACTGAGGCGCATTAAATGTGTATAAAACGTTGATATAGACATTTTGCTTAATCCATCTATGATTTCTTTTTCAAAATTATATAATAAACATGCTACATAACATATAAACATATAAATTAACAAATATGAGATGTTTTTCTGGTCGGCTTGACAGAGTGAACAGGAATCATTCGTGTCCGGGCTGACAACAACGTTTGTTTACATAACTCGCCAACCTTCTACACACTCATTCGTTTATTCATTTAATCTTGTTTACTCACAAGCATATATCTATACACACACCCCCTTGGGTTTTCTTCTATTTTCTTACTAGTTCTTGTTCTTGTTTAGTTCCTCTTATCTCCATGGGAAAGTGAAACAGAATTCTTCCTCCATAAGCCATGCATGTCATAAAAGTCGACTAAATTCCGGGAGCAAGGAGCTAGTAACCCCTTCTCCTGTATACATTACTAAAGTTAAAAAGAGAAACTTTTGTTTTTCTTTTTGGGCCACCCTGCCTCGGTGGGATATGGCCGGTTTCTTGAAAGAAAAGAAGGAAGAAGAAACACGCAGAATACCAGGTTTATCTTGCAACTTCTACTTACACTTAGGTCACACTATACATGCATGTACATGCATCTTCTTTCTTCTTTCAACACACCGGCCGTATCCCACCGAGGCGGGGTGGCCCAAAAGGAAAAACGAAAGTTTCTCCTTTTACATTTAGTAATATATACAGGAGAAGAGGTTACTAGCCCCTTGCTCCCGGCATTTTAGTCGCCTCTTACAACACGCATGGCTTACGGAGGAAGAATTCTGTTCCACTTCCCCATGGAGATAAGAGGAAATAAACAAGAATAAGAACTAGAAAGAAAATAGAAGAAAACCCAGAGGGGTGTGTATATATGTGCTTGTACATGTATGTGTAGTGGGACCTAAGTGTAAGTAGAAGTAGCAAGATGTACCTGAAAACTTGCATGTTCATGAGACAGAAAAAAGGACACCAGCAATCCTACCATCATGTAAAACAATTACAGGCTTTCGTTTTACACTCACTTGGCAGGACGGTAGTACCTCCCTGGGCGGTTGCTGTCTACCAACCTACTACCTAGGATGTACATGCATATATATATATATACATACCTATCTGGGTTTTCTATTATTTTCTTGTTCTTCTTTATTTCCTTTTATCTCCATGAGGAAGCAGAACAGAAGCCATGCGTGTCATAAGAGGCAACTAAAATGCTGGAAGCAAGGGGCTAGTAACCCCTTCTGTATATATTACCAAATTTAAAAAGAGAAACTCATTTTTCTTTTTGGGCCTTGGTGGGAACCAGCTGGTTTGTTGAAAGAAGAATATCTTTTGTTGCAGAGTATCAGATTTGACATATTTCACACTGTGCCTCCTTATATGTATCATCAGTGAACATATTATGATTATTAATTTAATAATGGGTTTTAAGTTTAGTACTGTTATTGCTTTGCAAAATTTTATAAAGTGATATTTTGTATTTCAGGTGTCACATCATCCTCCAGTGTCTGCAATCTATGTAACCAATAGACAAGAAGGATTTTCACTTACTACTACTGTTTTAGCCAAATCAAAATTCTATGGTATGCATTTTAATAACATAATCACATAAAGAAGAATAAAAAGGCACAGTACTGTGACTGGAACAATACACAAATAACCCGCACATAGGAGACTAGTTAATGGACCAAGTCAGACCGAAACATCAACATAAGTTTCATTCTTCTTTGTGCTGATTATTTGTGTATAATCACATGCTGTCATTATGTACCCTTGGTAGGGCTATGCCTTATATTTTTTTTCCATCTTTATTTACTTTTTATACACTTATTTACTTATTCTGCCATTTTTACTCGTACACCTTGGTGTTATCTTATACTTGCAGCAGTTTGCGCTATAAGTAGTGGGGTATTCAATCCTTTGACATTGAAAAAGCCCCTGTACTCTGCCCTAGGCCCTGACTTATGAAAGCCTTATTCATCAAGAACTGCAAGAAACTACTATCTCGTGCCATAACTATTCTATGGAGGAGGAGCCTGAAGACAGGAATCATCCTACACTCATTTTAAACCCACTGACATAGCCCCACTCCACAAAGGTGGCAGTAAAGAAAGAAACTATAGACTGATAGTGCTGACAGCCCACATTATCTTAGGAAGCAAGATTAATAATCACATGGCATCTCAGCAGTTACACAGCCCAGGGTAGCATGAGTTTATAGCAGGTCACTCCTGCCTCTTGCAGTTGCTTGATCATTACATGATGTGAGATGCAATGGAAGACAGGCAAAATGCAGATGTAGTTTACATTGATGTTGCAAAAGCCTTTGACAAGTGTGACCATGATGCAATCATTAATAAAATGCATTCAAAATGAATAGCTAAAAAAGCACAGTAGTGAACAGTCAAATTGGAGTGCACCATAGTGAAAAGCTGTGTTTTCCAAGGCACCAGACTGGCCTGTTTCTAATTCTCATATCCATCTTAGGCAGAAGCATAAATCATAGCACCCATATAATTTTTTGCAGATGATACTGAAATCTGTATGAGTGGCATCCACTGAGGACATGGCTAACCTCCAAGCTGATATAAATAAGTCTTCAGTGTGCTACCGACAACAATAAGATATTCAGTGAGGTCAAGTTTCAGTAACTCTTGTTATGGAAAGATCGAGGAAGTATAGATGAGCAATGTACTCTTTTTAAGGCACCTATAACAGATTTTTTTATATATATAAATTTGGCACCCCAGAACCAAATTGTTTGTAGAAGATGAATTATATCATATGGACTTTCATTTGAATCCTCTATGATTTATTCAGTAGAGGAGAACTATTAAAAGAATGATCCTGAATGTATATCCTTCTTTAGGTGTCCATTCTTTGTGGGAAATAGCTAATGTGATAAAAAATCTACTAAAGGTTAATTGAGCCATATACACCTACCATCCGACTTACGACCACTCGACTTACGACCGTGTTTTTTATGCCAAATTTCTGGGAAATAAACAACTATTTGTGTTGTACACAGTGTTTATCCTAAACCTTACAGTATAAAATACAGTACTAACAGCATAAAAAGTAAAGTAAAACATGAAATACCAAAATAGAACAATAAAATAAAGTCATTACAAAAATGTGATGTTGATATTCAGTAGTAAAGTTCGACTTACGACTGGTTTCTCGGAACCGAACTCGGTTGTAAGTCGGATGGTAGGTGTATACCAAGAGTACAGTTGTGTCCACCTTAATATTCGTATTAACTGATATTGCTATCTCTTTATCACTGTTTTTTAACTAACTGATCAAAATACCTGCTGCAAAAATTCCAGTATTCTCTCTACATTATTTTACTTTAATTATATCCCTACATATATGAGGATCTAGGTAGTAGGTTGGTAGACAGCAACCGCCCAGGGAGGTACTACCGTCCTGCCAAGTGAGTGTAAAACGAAAGCCTGTAATTGTTTTACATGATGGTAGGATTGCTGGTGTCCTTTTTTCTGTCTCATGAACATGCAAGATTTCAGGTAGGTCTTGCTACTTCTACTTACACTTAGGTCACACTACACATACATGTCACATATACAGTGGACCCCCGCTTAACGATCACCTCCAAATGCGACCAATTATGTAAGTGTATTTATGTAAGTGCGTTTGTACGTGTATGTTTGGGGGTCTGAAATGGACTAATCTACTTCACAATATTCCTTATGGAAAAAAATTCGGTCAGTACTGGCACCTGAACATACTACTGGAATGAAAAAAGTTCGTTAACCGGGGGTCCACTGTATATACACACCCCTCTGGGTTTTCTTCTATTTTCTTTCTAGCTCTTATTCTTGTTTATTTCCTCTTATCTCCATGGGGAAGTGGAACAGAATTCTTCCTCCGTAAGCCATGCGTGTTGTAAGAGGCGACTAAAATGCCGGGAGCAAGGGGCTAGTAACCCCTTCTCCTGTATAAATTACTAAATTTGAAAAGAGAAACTTTTGTTTTTCTTTTTGGGCCACCCTGCCTCGGTGGGATACGGCCGGTTTGTTGAAAAAAAAAAAAATATATGAGGATCATAGACATTAAAATAAATGATAGTTAAACATGAAAGCAACAATCTTATTAATTACATAAGACCTTGGCTCATGTTTTAGGGTTTAATTTATTAATACAGCCCTTAGAATTTTGCATTTGGGTCATAATTATTATCTTTTTAAGGTAATTCAACTTCTGCTATATTGGATGGCAATGTCTTACTAACATTGCTACCCCGAGGAGAAGATTATGTCATGAACATGCCGTATGCTCACTGTAAAGGCATCCTGATGGGCACACTGACTATGGAACTTGGTGGGAAAGTCACTATAGACTGCGAGAAGACTGGTTACAGAACAGAGCTAGAATTCAAGTTACGGGTAAGAAAACCAAGTGCAAGTGTTTATTAGTTTGTCTCGTTCTTTATTGGATAGGTTGTTTGTATGTTCATATTGTCTTTGATTGTTATGACATCCAAATCTGTTCACTTCCATTAGTCTGAAGACTGGAACAATACACAATTAATCCACACTTAAGAGAAAGAAATTATGACAATGTTTTGGTTCAACTTGGGCCATTAACTAGTTACACTAACACACAAAGGTAAGGGAGACTATATATACTGGCTCTCTTACCTTCAGGTGTTAGTGTGTGATTAGTTAATTAGTTAATACTCATCATGAGTGTCTTTCTCCTACTTGCGGGTAATTTGTGCATTAGTCAGAAGTGTGACTGTTGTTTAACCTTTTTCCTTGTCTTGTACAAGGTTTATTAATTGCTTCTAAAATATGTGTTACTTTTATAATAGTAACTTAAATTTTATTAATTTGACAGCTCCTGTCAACAAGTTATTTGTTTATGCATTCTAATTTTTATGAAAATTCAATTTTTTTTATTATTTTTGGAGTTTCGTTGTGTACATAATTTGTATGCAGTAGAACTCTGCAGAGTAATAGTCCTTGTGGTACAATATATATTGCAGTGTACTAAGTAGAGTACAGCACTTCACACTGGGTAGGGTACAGCACTTTGCACTGGGTAGGGTACAGCACTTCACACTGGGTAGGGTGCAGCACTTCACACTGGGTAGGGTGCAGCACTTCACACTGGGTAGGGTACAGCACTTCACACTGGGTAGGGTACAGCACTTCACACTGGGTAGGGTACAGCACTTCACACTGGGTAGGGTACAGCACTTCACACTGGGTAGGGTGCAGCACTTCACACTGGGTAGGGTGCAGCACTTCACACTGGGTAGGGTACAGCACTTCACACTGGGTAGGGTACAGCACTTCACACTGGGTAGGGTACAGCACTTCACACTGGGTAGGGTGCAGCACTTCACACTGGGTAGGGTGCAGCACTTCACACTGGGTAGGGTACAGCACTTCACACTGGGTAGGGTACAGCACTTTACACTTGATCTTTGATATAATGTAGATAATGATGAGTATTTGCTAGTGTACTGGTACTAGTTTAGCCTCAGTGCTGAGTATGCTGCCTCATCCAGTGAATGTGGGAGATGGTTCTGATGAACACTGATGAATGTGTCTGTTGTGGTCATTTTCTACTTATTCCTGTTTTTTTAATGCTCCTAATATTGTACATTAATTTAGATAAGTGATTTAGATAAATTTAGACAAATGATTAACCATGGGGAAAGGTTTAGGAGCATATTCTTGTTCAATATTCGATATATTTTAGTGAATCAAATTTTGTTTGTGTAAATATATTTTGCATAATAATTATTATTTTGTTTGCAGCCTTTTTTGAGTGGTGGTGATGCCAACAATATGTTGAGTGGAAAGCTAAAGTTAGGAAAAGACACTCTAGCAACCCTAGATGGACATTGGGATGGTAAAATCACCCTCACAGATAAACGAACTGGGGTGAGTGGAATGGTTCTGCCATTTTTAATTTCTCTTTTTTTTTTTTTTAACACTGGCATCTTCTGATGTAAGACTCATACTTAAGAATTATTTCTTTAGCTGATATGTTAGGTTTTTACATTTGTTAGGCCAAAAAAATGTGGAATAATATTCTCTTGATGCAGACATAAAAATCAGTAGGTACTCTCCTTTTAAAGAGTGAGCAAAATTTTTTCATTTTTGGAAAACAAGAATAGTGAAGAGAAGTGTAGAAATTATAGGAGAAATTATTTTGCTCCTGCTTCTCTCTGTTGTTCTTACTTCTGCTACTGCTGTTCCTACTTGTTGGTGATGGTGGCAATAATGACACTGCTGCTGCTGTTCCTACTGTGGCAGCAGTGTTGGCAGCAGCAAGTGGCTGCTGCTGCTGCTGCCACCACCACCACGGTAGTGGTGGTGGCAGCAGTGTCTGGGTGCTACAGCTATTGTTCTTGTTGCTGAAAGGGTGGTGGAGTATGTGCCTACATTAGAAATGACTTAGCTTACAACCCAAGACCTGATTTAAATAACAATAAACTGGAGATTCTATGGTTTGAAGTGCTGCTTCCTAAGACCAAACCCATCTTAGTAGGAACTAGTTACCGCCCTCCTACCCAGGACCAGTTCTTAGAAGACTTTTCCAGAGTCTTGTCCGGAGTTGAAAACAATTGCGAGACAATAATACTGGGCGACTTCAATATCTGTTTTCAGCAGCAAAATAACGGGCTATGCAAAAGGTATAAGCAAATTCTAGGATTAAATAGTTACACTCAACTAATTAATACTCCAACCCGGATCACACAGTTCTCAGCCACCCTAATTGACCACATACTTTGTAACCGCTCTGAGAACATTAGTCAGTCAGGCGTCATTACCACAGGTCTTAGTGATCATTTCATCATTTACTGCACCAGGAAAATAACTAGGGATAGGATAGGCCTACACAGGACAATAAAAATGAGGTCAACTAGAAATACAGTAAAGAAACACTGGTAAATAGGCTACACAATTGTGACTGGACAGAGATAACAAGTTGCACGGACGTAAACGATGCCTGGGAAAAATTCAAAACAATGTTCACTACCATCCTTGATAATATTGCACCAGTTAAAGAGGTTAGGATTAAACGAAGAACTGAACCTGGATGAATACTGAGATATTAGATAATATGAAATTCAGAGACCAGCTGCTAAAAAGATTTAAAGCAAACAGACAGGATATTGCAGCACTAAATGAATTCCAAAGGGTGAGGAACAGAGTACAGAGACTTATAAAAGGAGCAAAGGCAAAGCACTACTGCTCAAAAATTGAAGAGTATAAGCATAACCCAGAAAGCTCTGGCAACAACTAAAACAGTTGGGGTATAGCCATAAGCCAGTAGATAGGTCTAACATAGTACTCACTATCGATAATGAGGTATGCCACGAAACATCTAAGGTGGCAAATTGCTTTAATTCATACTACACATCTGTTGCATCAACACTAGTAAGTAAACTACCAGCTGCATCAAATACCTTTAACACAGACTCTGATAAGTTTCAAACATACTATACCAATAAAGGGGTAACCCCAAACAGTTGTCAACTAGTAAGTGTATCTCATGACTTTATTCAAAAAGAACTAAACAGGTTAAACCCAACTAAGAGCACAGGCCCTGATAACATCCCGTCTAAGTTCCTAAAAGATGGTGCTTCTGAACTGTCAATCCCTATTGCTCACATAATAAATCTATCAATCACCACTAATACAGTACCGGAGGGTTCAAGGAGGCCAGAGTTACTCCTATCTTCAAGAAAAATAGTAGGTCTGATGTAAGCAACTATAGGCCTGTTAGTATACTCAGTATAATATCTAAAATTCTAGAGAGGGCGGTGTATTCTCAAGTAGTTAAGTACCTTAATGACAACAACATTCTCCATAGCTATCAATAGGGCTTTAGAAGATCCTACTCAACCGACACCTCCCTTATTAATTTGATGGATTACCTGAGAACTGAAATGTCAAAGGGGAACCTCATAGGTATGGTAACCTTAGACCTGCAAAAGGCCTTCGATACTGTCAACCACAATATATTATGTAATAAACTTCAAGCTATCGGTATAGGTTCTGTAGACTGGTTTAAGTCCTACCTTAGCAACAGGAGACAAATAGTCAAAATCAACAAAACAGAATCAGAACCCCTGCCGATAACATGTGGAGTTCCCCCTTATTATTCTTATGTTATGTCAATGATATGCCTATCAGTGTCAAGTGCAAACTCCTACTGTATGCAGATGACAGTGCTCTGTTAGTGTCAGGTAAAGACCCACAAGATATTGCTAATGTTTTAACACTGGAACTGGAGTCCTGCAGCAAATGGTTAGTAGACAACAAACTATCATTCCACCTAGGGAAAACTGAAGCCATTCTCTTTGGCACGAAACATAAACTGAGAAGGGTAAATAATTTTAATGTTCAATGTAATGGGGAGCCCATCACTTTGGTTTCATCAGTAAAATATTTGGGAATCCCCTTTGACCCATGCATGTCAGGAGAATTGATAGGGAACAGTGTAGTAAAGAAAGCGAATGCCAGACTGAAGTTTCTGTATAGACAAGCACAGTGTCTACCTACTGAGGCTCGCAGGACCCTATGTCTAGCCCTTATACAATGCCATATGGATTACACTTGCTCTTCTTGGTTACTCTGCCTTGACAAAAAAACTGAAAGATAGACTGCAAATCACCCAGAACAAAATCGTAAGATTCATCCTGGGGCTGGGACCAAGAGAACATGTAGGCCAGGATGAATTACAGCAGTTGGATATGCTGAATGTTGAAGACAGAGTGAAACAACTGAAGCTAAATCATGTTTATAAAATTGCTCACAAACAATGTCCAGAATATCTTGCTGTCAATTTTGTCAAGGTTGGGAACCAAAGCAATCATAGTACTAGGGGGAGAGAGCACAACTTTGTAGTACCCACAGTCAGTGGCCAGGCTTCAAACACCTTTTATTGTACAGCAATAAAGGAATGGAACAGACTACCCGCACATGTCAGAGCCAGTCATAGCGTGAACCAGTTCAAGAAGAGTGCCAAAAGGTGTCTGATGAATGTAGCTACAGAAAGGGAGGGGAATGATTTTCTATTTTTTAGCTAACATACGTGTAAATTTTACCTTATTCCTTGTAATGACCCTCGTATTGTAGATAGTCTTAATGACCTTGGTGTAGCAGATAGTCTTTTTAGTATGATAATAAGATGTTATCTTCATTGTAGAATAATAAGAAAATATTATAACCTTTATACTATAATAATAAGGTAAAAGGACCCCAATGGAAATAAGTCACTCTGTCTGACTTTTTTGGGTTATCCTAGGTTCTCTACACATATGCTGCTATGTATGATAATTCTATGTAACTGTATTTGTGTATACCTGAATAAACTTACTTACTTACTTATGTTTGCTGTTACTGGTGGCGGCGGCGGTGGCGGCGGCGGCGGCGGCTGCTGCTGCGGCTGCTGCTGCGGCTGCTGCTGCTGCTGCTGCTGCTGCTGGTGGCGGTGGCGGCGGCTGCGGCTGCGGCCGTGGCCGCCGCCGCCGCCGCCGCCTGCCGCTGCCGCTGCTGCTGCTGCTGCTGCTGCTGCTGCTGCTGCTGCTGCTGCTGCTGCTGCTGCCGCCGCCGCCGCCGCCGCCGCCGCCGCCGCTGCCGCCACCAGTCAATGCAGAATGTAGATCTTTGCTCCTGAACACTCATGAATGATCCTAGGCACAGTTAACTAGAGTATGACTCAATTATACAGTAGTGTGGCACTTTCTTATGATACATCACAAATATTCACTCTGAAGTATTGTCTTGCTGAGTTACATTCTGTCCTCTTCTGCTGTGGGAGTTGTCAGTATAGTGAGTCCATCTCATATTTGAATGCTTGCCATATCTTTTTTTTCCTTAATAAACCTTTATACATTAATTCTCTGTTTGATACCTCTGCCACTGATACCAAATCCTCCTCCTCCTCCTCCCCCACGGGGCACCTCTTCCTTCCTTTGTTTCCCTTCCTTTCCCACCCCCTTTTCCCCCTTCTCTCTTTTTCCCTTCTCTCCCCCTTCCTTTTTCCCATTCTTTCTTTTTTTTCCCTTCCCCTTTTTCCTCCCCCCTTTCTTCCCCCCCCCCTTTCCTTGTTTCCCCTTTTCCCAAATGGCCTTTTGTCATTGCAGGTTCTGCTTTTTGGTGTTTTTTGGGAAAACTGAGCCAATAGTTACAAAAATTCAAGCTGTGATTATGCTGCATTTTGATTTTTGGGACTTTTTGAGGGAAAATTTAATAGACGGAAATTTTAAATGGAGGTTGGAATTTCAGAGCCTACACACTTTAAGGGTGACTGGAGATTTTTTTGCTTCAGCGGCTCATTGAATTATGATATTTATATTTTTATGGGGGAAATGGAAAGATTGTAATGAATGTGTTTCCCTTTCTTGGGAAACACCCCCCCCCCCCCCCCCCCCCCCCCCCCTTTTTTAGTAAAGTTTTAAAGTGGAAAAAAAAAAAAAAACAAAAAACAAAAAAAATATGGAAAGGGATTTTTTTGGGGGTTTTAAAATTTTTTGTAACTTTTGTGAAAAGTTGTGTGGAGTAAAATATGTTTTGGGAAATTTTATATGACAAAAACAAATTTTTTAATGGATCTTAATCTTTAACCAATTTTAATTTAGTTCACTTTTTAAGTGTTCTTTTCCGAACAAAAAAAATAATAAATTTGATTTTTTTGCAAGTTTTTAAAAAAAAAAGGCTTTTTTCCTCACAAGATTTACCCTGTCTTTGGTCTTCCCGTTCATTAAGGTAAATAGGGGATTTGGGTATTTTCAATGAAGGACTTTTTAAAAAGTCTAATAAAATATTGTATATTTTAATTTCATTTTAGGAAGAAAAAGTACTGTGGCATGCTACTTCCCGAAGTGAAAAACCAGCGACTTGAGCGGTACACGGGGTTTGGGGGACTTGACCAGCAGGGGCAGTTTTTTAGTCGGAAAGGAACTCTGGCAGCTAGTTTTTATATGCCATTAAAAAATGATTTATCAGGTAAGGGCTGGTAATATTGTTAAATGGTTACCCGTAATTGTTTAAAATTTAACAAACATTAAAAGGAACATTTTGTGTTTGCCATTGAAAAGTAGATAAAGGAAAATAATTGGTGGGGTGTATTTAAAAAAAACAACAAAAATAATTGAAGTGTTTTTCCATTTGCAGTAAAACAAAACTAAAACCCAAAAAGGGTTATATAAACAAAAACCCGTTGGGGTTTTTAAAATTTTCTTAAAATTTTTGATGCAAATTTTCTTGGGAGGGGGAAATTTTTGTGGCAAAATTTTTATTGTTTGTAAAACAGATTTACCTATGACTGAATGGTTTAAAGGGCTGCTGTTTGCCTTACAGGTAAGGTGTGAATGAATGTTTTGGGAAAGAAAGGGATAGTTTGCCTTTAGGTGAGGTAAAAGGGGTGGGGTAGTTGCTAGGGTTTGTGCCAAAATATCAAATTAGTGGGGCATGGTTAAAGTTGATGGGAAACACTATTGACCTAAAATTGAGTATTGGTATCAGAAAAAAATGTAGATTGTCCATCACTTAGTAGTGAGGAATGTATTATTTGCCTTGCAGGTGAGGTATGAGTGGTAAGAAATGTATTGTTTGTTTTATAAATGAAATTTGTATGGTGAGAAATGTATTGTTTGCCCTGCAGGTGAAGTACAAGTGCATGGTAAGAAATGTATCATTTGCCTTGCAAGTAAGATATGAATGTATGGTGAGAAATGTATTGTTTCCCTAATAAGTGAAGTATATGTGTAAGGTGAGAAATGTATTGTTTACTTTACAGGTGAGGTAACAAGTGTTGTAAGAAATGATCTGTTTGCCTGACAAGTAAACTGTGGTATGAGTAAGTGTGTTTAGAAATGCATTGTTTGCCTGACAGGTGAGATATAAGTGTTCGATGAGAAATTAATCATTTGCCTGACAGGTGAGTTACAAGCATGGTGAGAAGTGAGTGAGTGTGAGTGTGTGAGTGTGTGAGTGAGTGTGTGAGTGTGAGTGTGTGAGTGTGTGAGTGTGTGAGTGTGTGAGTGTGTGAGTGTGTGAGTGTGTGTGTGTGTGTGTGTGTGTGTGTGTGTGTGTGTGTGTGTGTGTGTGTCTGTCTCTCTGTCTGTCTGTGTCTGTCCTGCCTGGCCATCCAGCTGTCACTCTTATTCTTTTCAATTTTTCCACATTTTTTATATGTACACTAAAATTTTAGCTTTTACATATACTGCACATGTATAAACTTGTGTTTTTCTAGTCATGCATGAAACTATATGGGGAATGGAAGTAAGCATGAAGAAGACTGAAGGCAAATGTACATGGGAGTTTCTGATTACTTAGTGTAGTTTACAGGATATCGGTCATGAGCGTGGTCGACCATCTTCCTTTTCAAATATGTTACACCGACTCTTCAAGTTCCCTACATTTATGTACCTATTCTAGTCCTGCAGTGCTTTCCAACATTCATGGCTCTGTTAAAAGGAGTTATTTTTCTCTCGTATTTTTTGTTTTTTTTGTTTTTTTTGCGTGTTTTGCTAACTTGAATGCACATTATGGTTCTCCCTGCAGTAGGAGACACTGAATCGATCCTGTCCATTTTTCATATAACTTGTTACACTTAAAAGTAATTAATTTTTGCCCCTTTTTTTTATTTTATTTTTTATTTTAAGGTAGTCAAATCTAATATGTTTAAATCTTTCTATATACATTATCATGCATCATTTGTTTCTATAACCTATTTAGTAGCATGCCTTTGCTAGCAAAATTACTGCTACATAGTCCATCTTTGTTATGATTCTTTAAAACTTGCAGCCATCTCCCACCAAGGTAGGGTGACCCCCCCCCCCCCCAAAAAAAAAAAAAAAAAAAAAAAAAAAAAACTCGATAATCTTCATTCAGTAGTTGTCTTGCCACAGGTGCACACATGTCACAGTTTAACCCCTCTTTCAGAGTGCAGGCACTATACTTACCACCTTCAGTACTTAATGAATCTTTATTTTGATAAATGCTACAGAAAACACATACTTATCTGATTCATATTTGGTCATTAAGTACAGGAGGGCCCTGTTTTACGACGTTTCACTAATGCAGAGGTTTTTCAGTTATACCCATTCTTCATTTATTCAGACTTCTTACAAAAAATATTTTCACCACTCACTATAAAATAAGGATGAAAATATTTTAAGGTAAGTAATGTGTGTACTGTATATACATTTTTTAAGGCCTAGCTACATTGCTCACTTTATATATGATAGTGTAAATATGTTATCAGTTTTTTTTTTTTTTTTTTATTATCACACTGGCCGATTCCCACCAAGGCAGGGTGGCCCGAAAAAGAAAAACTTTTACCATCATTCACTCCATCACTGTCTTGCCAGAAGGGTGCTTTACACTACAGTTTTTAAACTGCAACATTAACACCCCTCCTTCAGAGTGCAGGCACTGTACTTCCCATCTCCAGGACTCAAGTCCGGCCTGCTGGTTTCTCTGAACCCCTTCATAAATGTTACTTTGCTCACACTCCAACAGCACGTCAAGTATTAAAAACCATTTGTCTCCATTCACTCCTATCAAACATGCTCCAAGCCCCTTGCACACAAAACCTCCTTTACCCCCTCCCTCCAACCTTTCCTAGGCCGACCCCTACCCTGCCTTCCTTCCACTACAGACTGATACACTCTTGAAGTCATTCTGTTTCGCTCCATTCTCTATACATGTCCGAACCACCTCAACAGCCCTTCCTCAGCCCTCTGGACAACAGTTTTGGTAATCCCGCACCTCCTCCTAACTTCCAAACTACGAATTCTCTGCATTATATTCACACCACACATTGCCCTCAGACATGATATCTCCACTGCCTCCAGCCTTCTCCTCGCTTGCAACATTCATCACCCATGCTTCACACCCATTTTAAGAGCGTTGGTAAAATATCTCTCATACATTCCCTCTTTGCCTCCAAGGACAAAGTTCTTTGTCTCCACAGACTCCTAAGTGCACCACTCACCCTTTTCCCCTCATCAATTCTATGATTCACCTCATCTTTCATAGACCATCGGCTGACACGTCCACTCCCAAATATCTGAATACATTCACCTCCTCCATACTCTCTCCCTCCAATCTGATATCCAATCTTTCATCACCTAATCTTTTTGTTATCCTCATAACCTTACTCTTTCCTGTATTCACCTTTAATTTTCTTCTCTTGCCACCCTACCAAATTCATCCACCAATCTCGCAACTTCTCTTCAGAATCTCCCAAGAGCACAGTGTCATCAGCAAAGAGCAACTGTGACAACTCCCACTTTATGTGTGATTCTTTATCTTTTAACTCCACGCCTCTTGCCAAGACCCTTGCATTTACTTCTCTTACAACCCCATCTATAAATATATTAAACAACCATGGTGACATCACACATCCTTGTCTAAGGCCTACTTTTACTGGGAAATAATTTCCCTCTTTCCTACATACTCTAACTTGAGCCTCACTATTCTCGTAAAAACTCTTCACTGCTTTCAGTAACCTACCTCCTACACCATACACCTGCAACATCTGCCACATTGCCCCCCTATCCACTCTGTCATACGCCTTTTCCAAATCCATAAATGCCACAAAGACCTTTTTAGCCTTATCTAAATACTGTTCACTTATATGTTTCACTGTAAACACCTGGTCCACACCCCCCCTACCTTTCCTAAAGCCTCCTTGTTCATCTCCTATCCTATTCTCCGTCTTACTCTTAATTCTTTCAATAATAACTCTTTTTATCTTTATCCCATCAATCCTGGCTGCCTTACCCCCTTTCATTTTACCTACTGCCTCACGAACTTCCCCCACACTCACAACTGGCTCTTCCTCACTCCTACAAGATGTTATTCCTCCTTGCCCTATACACGAAATCACAACTTCCCTATCTTCATCAACATTTAACAATTCCTCAAAATATTCCCTCCATCTTTCCCAATACCTCTAACTCTCCATTTAATAACTCTCCTCTCCTATTTTTAACTGACATATCCATTTGTTCTCTAGGCTTTCTTAACTTGTTAATCTCACTCCAAAACTTTTTCTTATTTTCAACAAAATTTGTTGATAACATCTCACCACTCTCTCATTTGCTCTCTTTTTACATTGCTTCACCACTCTCTTAACCTCTCTCTTTTTCTCCATATACTCTTCCCTCCTTGCATCACTTCTACTTTGTAAAAAACTTCTCATATGCTAACTTTTTCTCCCTTACTACTCTCTTTACATCATCATTCCACCAATCGCTCCTCTTCCCTCCCACAACCACTTTCCTGTAACCACAAACTTCTGCTGAACACTCTAACACTACATTTTTAAACCTACCACATACCTCTTCGACCCCATTTCCTATGCTCTCATTAGCCCATCTATCCTCCAATAGCTGTTTATATCTTACCCTAACTGCCTCCTCTTTTAGTTTATAAACCTTCACCTCTCTTCCCTGATGCTTCTATTCTCCTTGTATCCCATCTACCTTTTACTCTCAGTGCAGCTACAACTAGAAAGTTATCTGATATATCTGTGGGCCCTCTATAAACATGTACATCCTGAAGTCTACTCAACAGTCTTTTATCTACCAATACATAATCCAACAAACTACTGTCATTTCGCCCTACATCATATCAGGTTTTTATATGCATTTTAAAGTAAAAAAAAAGCTATGATTCTCTTTATAGTGATTTTTCACTTTACACTGGTAGCTCGGAACCTAACCTGCTGTATAAGCAGTTCCTTCCTGTACCAGGTTAACATGAGTTCCAAGAGACGTTCTACTCGTCTGGTGCTAGTATTATGTAGTATCTGAACATTATGTTGTTTTAGTAATTATTTATAGTCTCAAATCCTTTATTTCTCTCTCTAGTGAGCCTTAGTATATTTTTCCCCAGCTTTTGTATGGCATTTTTCTCTGAGTAATTCCATGAGTTTTCTGCTCAAGCTGAATGTCTTACACAAGTCTTTTTGCAGTAGTTTGTGGTCTTGTAGAAGCTTTAGTTATCCAGGTGTTCTAGTATTTTGGCATCATCATTGGATGTACTCAATTGTTTTTTGAGATCAGTATTAATATTATACAATACTAGAAGCATAAATGAGGCCAACAATGACCCTTAAGGCATCTGTGTAGTTTTTGAAGGAATGCATTAAGTCTCTTTTTGTTTGTTTTGCATAAACCACAATATTTTATAGTGGAAAAGCCCATATATAGCAGATGTAGATCAGAATGTGTAGTTAGAAAAGCAGGTGGGTAGGTAAGCTGTCAAGATTTATAATGTGATTCAAAAACTTATGTTAATGTTTTACAGATTGCAGCTACTGAAGAAAAAACCATTTTGGAGGAAGCACAACGGAGTGCAGCCAATGAGAGAAAAGCAAAGTGTGAAGAATGGGTACCAAGGTACTTTACACAGGTTAGTGTGCATAACTCTGTACTGTGTATACCAAATAAGAGGACAAGATAACAGACATTCTACTCCACCCTAACCTTACTCCTTAATCATGTATTTGCCTTTTCATTCTTTATAGTATTCAAGTCTTAAATGTGTGACTATCCTTGGTAAAAATACAGAAAATATTTAACTTATGAGAGATGCATTGAACTTGAGAAGATCTTTACTTACTCTTCGACTGAAATTATGTGAAGATAGTGTAATCATATGGAGAATAGTAGTAGATTGGTAGACAACAACTATCCAGGGAGATAAAGAACAAAAAGGCACAATACCTCTCTCATATGTGCAGGTTATTTGTGTATCCAGGGAGATACTATCGTATGTGAAACAGAATCCTGTTTAAACATTTTACACTGTTAAAATTGCTGGTCATTTCTTTGACACTAACATTTGATATACGTTTACAGTACACTCTTCATTCCTGTGTGGTTCGTGGTACCTGTGTTTGTAATTTTCCTTTCCAATTGAGACGTTGTTAGAGATGGGTCCATGGAAAAATGATTCTGGAACTATTATTTGATATTAAACAGATGCAGGCAAGTTACATAAAAAAATCCAGTGAGTAATTTATTCAGAGGCAAGAACACTTCATATTTTTCTGAGAAGTTCAGGGAAAGACGATATGGTATAGTATAGCATCCCCATGGTGGAAACAAAAAACCTGTGGCTTGTTAAGGTTTCCCAAATGAAGGTTGAGGCTCATGTTCACTCATTCAGTTACTGGACTTGGACCATATTTGAGTGTTTTTAGAGGTACCATAAATGTGAAATTTGAATGTATTCTATGTAATCGTTTATCACCTCCAGCATTGGTAACAAATTACATGGGAAGCCTTCATGATTAATTGATGTAAAATTTTTGGCAGGACCCAGTGAGCGGTGTTTATGTTTATCAATACTCGGACCTTCGACCTTGGGATCCAAGGACAGATCTCTTCCAGTATGAGTATAACTATATAATATCTACTAAAACCAGACATAAAGCACCCATGATCAGAACTGCTTCCATAGTCAGTGTAGATCCTAAGTGTGAGGTAAGTACAGCATTTTATTTTTAGAGTGATACTGAATTTTTTGTACTTCCCAAAAGTACAATGCTGGGACTTTAAAGGAGGGGTTTGGTATATTGGCTCTTAACTATCGTATCTGAGTGCCTCTGCAGACATTAATTATGTATGAATGATGATGAAAGTTTTTTTCTCTCTTTTTGGGTCACCCTGCCTTGGTGGGAACGGCCGGCGGGTTAAGAAAAAACAGAATTTTTTATAATCTTTTTTTTTTAACAAGTTGGCCGTCTCCCACCGAGGCAGGGTGACCCAAAAAAGAAAGAAAATCCCCAAAAAGAAAATACTTTCATCATCATTCAACACTTTCATCTCACTCACACATAATCACTGTTTTTGCAGAGGTGCTTAGAATACAACAGTTTAGAAGTATATACGTATAAAGATACACAACATATTCCTCCAAACTGCCAATATCCCAAACCCCTCCCTTAAAGTGCAGGCATTGTACTTCCCATTTCCAGGACTCAAGTCTGGCTATATAAAATAACCGGTTCCCCTGAATCCCTTCACTAAATATTACCCTGCTCACACTCCAACAGCTCGTCAGGTCCCAAATACCATTCGTCTCTGTTCACTCCTATCTAACACACTCACGCACGCTTGCTGGAAGTCCAAGCCCCTCGCCCACAAAACTTCCTTTACCCTCTCTCTCCAACCTTTTCAAGGATGACCCCTACCCCGCCTTCCTTTCCCCACAGATTTATACACTCTCCATGAAATTCTACTTTGATCCATTCTCTCTAAATGACCAAACCACCTCAACAACCCTTCTTCAGCCCTCTGACTAATACTTTTATTAACTCCACACTTTCTCCTAATTTCCACACTCTGAATTTTCTGCATAATATTTACACCACACATTGCCCTTAGACAGGACATCTGCACTGCCTCCTTGCTGCAGCATTTACAACCCAAGCTTCACACCCTTATAAGAGTGTTGGTACTACTATACTCTCATACATTCCCTTCTTTGCCTCCATAGATAACACTTTTTGTCTCCACATATACCTCAATGTACCACTCACCTTTTTTCCTTCATCATTTCTATGATTAACCTCATCCTTCATAAATCCATCCACTGACACGTCAACTTCCAAATATCTGAAAACATTCACTTCTTTATTTTTGTGGCATTAAATTTGTATTGAAGATAGTCATTGTACAGTACTTATAAATTTTTAAATATGCAAATAGCTGTGTTTACTTACTGGTACAATTTTTTTTATACCACATTGGTCATCTCCCACTGAGGTAAGGTGATCTAAAAAACTACACACTCACCTTCATTCTTTCAATAGCTGTCTTACCAGAAGTGTGCAGACATTATAATTCAAATGACCTTCAAATGACCCTTTGAACTACAGTGGACCCTCAGTTAATGATATTAATCCGTTCCAGAGAGCTTGTCTTTAACCGATTTTACCGTTATCTGATTTAATTTCCCCATAAGAAATAATGGAAATCCAATTAATCCGTTCCTGCTCTCAGAGGACGTGACAGAATAGTACTATGACAGTATTATCAACTCTACAGCTTATTTATCTACCACAATTCATCTAATATGACATAATAAACAATATTAATAATATAGAAAGATGATATATACTCTAGAATGAATAAAATGTCATAATGTATGTGAGGAGAAAGTGATGTAAGTGTTGTTGTTGGGTTTATAATGGTCACTGAGAAAAGCTTTTTCATTTTGTGGTGGAGGAGGGTTTTTCTGCCCCCACCATTTACCACAAAAAAATTTTTTTTTTTTATTATTATCAAAAAGGGCCCGATTCCCCCCAAAGGTGGCCCAAAAAAGAAAAATTCCACCATCATTCACTCCATCACTGTTTCCCAAAAGGGGTGCTTTACACTACATTTTTTAAACGAAAACATTTAAAACCCCTCCTTCAGATTTGCAGGCACTGTATTTTCCATCTCCAGGCCCTAAAGCCCCGGCCTCCCGGGTTTCCCTGAATCCCCTTTCAAAATGTTCTTTGTCACACCCCCAAACAGACTCAAGTTTTTAAAAAAACCATTGTCTCCATTCACTCCTATAAAAACCCCGCTCACGCATGCCTGCGGGAAAGCCCAAAGCCCCTCGCACACAAAAACCCCCTTTTAAACCCCCTCTCCCAAACCCTTTTCCTTTAGCCGCCCCCTTCCCCCGCCTTCCTTCCACTAGGGGACTGTTAAAACTCTTGAAGTCATTCTTTTTTGGGTCCATTCTCTCTACATGTCCGAACCACCTCAAAAACCCCTTTCCCTCAGCCCCCTGGACAACTTTTTGGAAATTTCCCGCACCCCCTCCAAAAATTCCAAACTACGAATTCTCTCATTAAATTCACACCCCCACATTGCCCTCAGACATGACATCTCCACTGCCTCCACCCTTTTCCCCCGCTGAACATTCATCACCCCCCCCTTCCCCCATATAAAGGCGTTGGTTTTAAAAAATATTTCCAAAACATTTTCCCCTTTTGCCTTTCCAAAGGGCAATGTTCTTTTTCTTTCCCCAAAACTCCTTAAATGCAAACCCCTCCCCTCTTTTCCCCTCATCAATTCTTTGATTCAACCCATCTTTTATAGGGGCCCAACCGCTGACAAAGTCCCCCCTCCCAAAAATCTGAATACAAATTTACCTCCTCCATAAATCTCTCCCCCCCAATTTTGATATTTTAACTTTCATACCTAAAACTTTTTGTTATCCTTTATAAAAACCACCTTTCCTGTTTACCTTTAAAATTTTTTTTCTTTTGCACACCCTTTTTCCCAAATTTTATTTCCCCCCTCTCTGCAAAATTCCTTTTAGAATTCCCCGAGCACATTTTCCCTCAGCAAAGAGAGCTGTGACAACTCCCACTTTGTGGGGTGATTCTTTATCTTTTAACTCCCCGCCCCCTTTCCAAAACCCTCGCATTTTTCTTTTCTTTCAACCCCTTTTTAAAAAATTTAAAAAAAAAAACCACGGTGACAAAACCCCACATCCTTGTCTAAACCCAAATTTTACTGGGAATAATTTCCCTCTTTCCCACATACCTAAATTGAAACCTTCCCCCCCCCCCTTTTTTCCCCTCGTAAAAAATCTTCACTGCTTTCCCGTAACCTTCCTTCTACACCTTACACTTTCAACCTCCGCCACATTTTTCCCCCCTATCCCCCTGTCATATGCCCTTTTCCAAATCCTAAATGCCACAAAGACCTCTTTAAACCTTTTTCTAAAAACTGTTCAAAATTTAAAGTTTCACTGTAAACACCGGTTCCCACACCCCCCCTACCCTTTTCCAAAACCCCCTTGGTTTATCCCGCTATCCCATTCCCGTCTTAAATCTTAATTCTTTCAATAATAACTCTAAAAAACCCACCATAAAACTTTAAACCCGGTATACTCAGCAGAAAATTTTCCCCTATAATTTTTTAAATTCTTTTTTCCCCTTTGCCTTTTTTAAAAAGGAACTATGCAATTTTTTCTCTGCCCAAAAACCCCAGGGACCTTTAAAAAAAACCCCCTTTTTAAAATTTATTTAAAAAATTGCACCCAAACCCCTCCAAAACTATATCCCCACCTGCTTTTTAAAATTTTTATCTTTTATCCCCTCAATCCTGGCTGCCCTTAAACCCCCCTTTCTTTTAAACCCATTGCCTTTCCAACTTCCCCCCCCATCACAAATTGGGTCTTTCCCCACTCCTACAAGATGTTATTCCTCCTTGTCCATACACGAAACACAGCTTTTCCCCATCTTCTCCCAAAATTTTTAACAAAATTTCCCCAAAATATTCCCTCCCTCTTCCCAAAAAACCTCTAACTCTCCATTTAAATTAAAACCCCCTCTCCATTTTTTAAAAATGCAAATCCATTTTTTCTCTAGGGTTTCTTAACTTGTTAATCTCACTTCCCCAAAATTTTTTCTTATTTTCAACAAAATTTTTGATAACATCTCACCCACCTCCCATTTGCCTTTTTTTACATGCTTCCCCACCCTTAACTCTCTCTTTTTCTCCAATACTCTTCCCCTCCTTGCATCATTCTATTTTGAAAAAAATTTCTATATGAAATTTTTCTCCCTTACACTCTCTTTACATATCATTCCCCCAATCGTCCTTTTTCCCCCCGCACCCACTTTCCGTAACCACAAATTTCTCTGAACACTCTAACACACTTTTTTAAAACCTACCCCATCCTCTTAAATCCCATTCCCTATGCTCTCATTTGCCCATTTTCCCTCCAATACTTTTATACTTACCCAATCCCTCCTCTTTTAGTTTTTTAAAATTCACCTCTCTTTCCCTGATGCTTCTATTCTCTTGTATCCCATCTACCTTTTACTCTCAGTTAGCTAAAACTAAAAGTGACGATATATCTGTGGGCCCCTCTATAAACGTCTCCTAAAGTTACCAAACATCTTTTATCTACCAATACAAAATCCACAAACTACTGTCATTTCCCCCTGCATCATATCTTGTATACTTATTTATCCTCTTTTTTTTAAAAATATGTATTACCTATAAAAAAACCCCTTTCTATACAAAGTTCAATAAAAGGGGCCCCCATTATCATTTACCCGGGCCCCCCAAAACTTACCTTCCACACCCTCTCTAAAAGTTTCCTCCTCTTTAGCATTCAGGCCCCTACCAAAATTTACTCTCTCACTTGGGTTCAAAGGCTCCTAACATTCACTTAACATCTCCCAAAAATCTCTCTCCCCTCTACATTCCTTTTTCTCCAGGGCTACACGCTTATTATGCCCCATTTTTCGCATCCAACCTTTACTTTAACCCACATAATTTTTAATTTACACATTCATATTCTCTTTTTCCCCTTTTCCATAACTGAATTTTAAAACATTCTGCACCCCTTCCCCTTTGCTCTAACTCTCTCAGATACCCCCAATTTTAACCCCCATTTTTTTTCCCCCCCACTGAAACTACCTACCCCCTTCAGCTTTTTTTTGCTTGGGCCAGGACTCCAACTTTTT